GCTCAGTCAAAGCATTCCTTTCACTGTTTTCTTAGGACTTCTAGGCTGCTACACAATATCTATTTAAAAACTCACAAGTAGAGCTAATTAAAAATTTAAGGGGGTAATAGAAAGAGGGTGTAATAAATATTAATTCTGGGATTCTCTTTTTTTAAAAAAAAGAGAGGAGGAAGGAAAGATTCTCAGAACTTTTATGATCAAAAACTAGTAAGGAGCCAGTTAAATCAAGAATGGAAGCAAACATTCAAAATTAAATTTAGTTCTGATATAATTCCTGTATCAACACAAATGTCTGGAAAATAACACTCCATTAACTAGCTTCCATAACTTATGTGGTCAGATGATGTAAAATTCTATGTCTAGCACTGTATGACATGCAAGCCTTAATAATGCAGAGAAATCTTACTAACTAAAGAGAAAGCAGATGATGAAATAATTATATTATTTCCTAATCCAGGGATGTCAAACTGTTGGCCCATAGGCCGGATGCGTCATGCCGAAACCGCGTCCACCCCATTGCCGACAATGGAAAAAAAGTCATGATACATCACGACACGTCACGTGACGTTGCGAGTTGGACGCTCCTGTGGACCTAATCTATAGATTAATCAGCATTATGTGTCCCTAACATCAGGCTACTATAGGAATTAATCTTACCATAGGCAAATTAATCTTTGCCTTTCACTCTGATCCATGGAAAATCCCATCGGAAGTTTATTGGAGAGCCATGTGTGATGGTCCTTCCATCCTTATAAACCAACTGCTCAATGTCTCTCCTACAACTTCTTACAAATATCAGTTGGATAATTTAGTACAGGAGTAAATTGAGAAAATTTGCAAATTTTTTTCCTCTCCAGCTGAGAGCATCAAGAATTGAATTTAGACCAGCCATTTGGGCTTGACTGCAAAATTACTTTCTATTCATCATGGACCTTATATATACTGTTTTAAACAAATGTGGTACCAATAAAGGATAATATTTGCAGCTCAGGGTTGAAATGAGGGGTCCTTTGTGCTCTCTGAGCTTGATTGTTTTCTTGCAGATGTTTCATTACCTAAACTAGGTAACATCATCAGTGCTAGTCTAACATCATCAGTGCTAGACTAACACTGATGATGTTACCTAGGACACCTCAAACAAACATAATAGGAACAGATCTCTTCACAATACCAGGGAGACTAGTAATAAATGAAAAGATGGTTCCTTTAACATAAATACTTCTTCTTTCAAGCAATTGTCAATGGATATTTCTCAGATACTATATCTCCAAAGGGACAGGACTGGATTCCCATTATGTAGACCTGACCAAGAATCAACTCCAGAGGAACGGCAAAACTACTTGTATTAAGATTAGCTATAGTAACATAATCTTGCAACTCTGATTGTACTTTACCTCTTACCCTCTTATATTCATATTCACTAGGGAGGTACCTGTCATTTTCACATTTCTTCTGCTTGTTCTGAACTTAAGACATATTTTTCCTCTCGTTGTTCTGGTAATGTATATTGCCTATCTTTGTCAAAACCAGCTTCTTTACTTTCTCTAGGTCCTAATGTCTGTGGAAGTAATCCCCATGCACTGAAAAGAAAAGCAGCTATAGGTCCATGTGGGGAATTCTTGAGCTAAGGAATGATCAAAGGGATTCCTATCTCTTATCCACCCCTCCCCCTCCAGTTTATTCCTTCAGATCTGCAATCTCTTGAGGCTGGTCTTCAAATCTGTGGTAGCAGTTTGGGGTGATAGATATGAATCTGCTTTCTGACAAATCAGAATGATAAGAAGAGTTATGTTGTTTGACTGCAGGGCATAAATTGCTGGAGAGCTGGAATTATGTTTATATATTTATTGTACCTTGGGATGGGCTAGAGGTTGAAAATCTGCCTTCTTCTTGAGATGTGTGCTTTGGTAAGAAGTTATTTTAAGCACTGTCAATACCCGAAAATGAAAATGAACCAAAAGTCACCAAATTTTGAATACTGCTTATTTGCATCTTTATCGCTGTTATCATCTCTTAATAGTATTATTATTAGCACTCCATTTAATGGGCGAATATACCTTGGGGACCCTTAAGAACAGCAGTGTCTGTAGCAAACTATGATGATGCCAAAATAACAACACACTCACAGTGAGGACATAATGTATTTGGATCTTGATCTCTGATTACAGTATTTGCTTGATGAGATCATCTAATATTTCATCATTTTGTTGCCGTGTACTAAACTATGATGCAGAAGGAATAGCTTTATAATCATTACTAGCAAGTCCTTCAAAAACCTTTAGTATCCATCAGGATCACCTCAGAATACAAATGTAACAAATGGTCCTTTAAGAGGAATACGTACTTCACTTCGGGGGTGGGAACAAGAAGCAACCAAACAAACAAAAAATCCTGACAGCTTTATAAGCTTAGAGAGATTGAAAAGTGTGAATGGATGGGCTTTTGCCAAATAAATTAAGGGGGAAAAAAGGTTTAAAAGAACAAGATAAAGGCACATGCTGAGAAAATGGTTGCCAAAATGGATTCGGTATACGTTTTTAATGAAAGTGGTTTTTACAAAGATATGGTGGAAATGAACAGATGGAAAAAATCTTCCAAGATGGAATCATCTCTCTGTATTATGTCTTACAGAATCCAGGGACACAGTATGCTTTTTTTATTATTTCCCACAAGGGATTCAATGGAAGGGTCAACCATATTAATGAAAAATGCAGCAGCATTTAAATTGTGGGATCTGAGAAACTGAAGCACACTGAAAGGAAAAAGTTTTTCAGTTTGATGCACATTGAAAAGAAAAAGTTTTTCAGTTTGATGCAGACCACTCTATAGTAGCAAAATCCAAGACCCTGAATTCAAATCTTAACAGAATAACAGTTGGAAGGGACCTTGGAGGTTTCTAGTCTAACCCCCTGCTCAAGCAAGGAACCCTGTAAAATTTCAGATAAATGGTTGTCTAATCACTTTTCAAAAACCTCCAGCAATGGAGCTAAACTATCTTGAAATGAATTAACCTCTTTTGCTTATTTAAGAGGCTTATTTAAGAAGGATCTTTTAGATGCTACTAAAGATTCTTGGATGGCCAAGAATATAATTGGTTTAGTTGGGTGTGTGGATAAAGATGATAGATGGATAGATAGATAGATATCAATTTTGATATTAAAAGTATTTTATAACTTTTAATGATTTAAGAAATCCTCAGCAAAACAGAAGTATGTACTTTTTAAAATTATTCATACAAAAAATAATTTTTATATGTAAAATATTATCCAAAGTCAACATTCTATTCCAGGGGTGTCAAACTGCCGGCCCGTGGACCGGATGCATCATAGCGAAACCGCACCCACCTCGTTGCTGGCAATGGCAAAAAAGTTGTGATACGTTGTGACATATCACGAGACATTGCGTGTTTGACACCCCTGTTCTATTCCATATTCCCCATTATTTTTCTAGCCTAGTTTCTACTTGTCTAAATAATAAAGAGTTAACTTTATTTGGAAAGCACATTTCTACAGCCAAATTCCACAGTTTCCTGGACTGTCCTAAATAATCATTTTCCTTTAGAATCGCCCTGTCCATTCAAAACTCTGGGGACATGGCATGTTGAAGATAATGAGAGCTTATAGTTCAAGGCAAATCAATACATACATTATGAATAGAGTGAGATTCTAGCATTAAGTACCGGAGCAAATGTAGCCTTTCCTGGATGATAAGTAGATCTATAAATAACTACACATATACAACAATAACAACAATACCACCAACATCAACTTTCTTTTATTCCTGTGATTCAATTTTGGATGTATTTATTTTTTTGCAAGTGAACCCATACAACTGAAACAAGAACCTGACTCATGGAAGAAGCTAAGCCTAACTAGAATATCGTGACTCTTCTATTCCTATTGGTCTTTAAGTAGCTGTACATTTATCTCCAGATAAATATACTAAAGGCTGAAGCCCTCATAGGTATGGTCTGTGTGGGTCAGAGCCCTGGATTAAGTTCAGATAATTCTGCATGCCACCCCCCTCTTAGATTAACTACATTCATATTCACTGGCACAACAAACAGAGTTGGTACAAATAAATGATTTGTTTGTAGATCTCTAGTTAAAAGGATTCAGTAGCAGGTGATGGAATTCTAGAGATGTGTTACTGATATCATTAGATAACAATGGGGCTTGATGGATGAAGAGTGTAACCTGAGAAAAATTAAAGCTGCCATAATCTGGCCTGTAACAGTCTCAACAACCATTAGATGGCAGTAAGAAAACCGACTCTTTACTGCCATCTAATGGTCATCTGCCAGTTTCTTATGATCAAGTTGACGGAGAGAGACTGTCACATTCAGGAGGAGGGATCAAGCGGGAGATCAGTCTGGAATCGTTATGTAGACACAAGAAGGCAAGGTCCGACTCTCCTTGAATACTGTTGGACCTTCCTTAGTCTTTCTGGTGGCAAACTGCCAGTCTGTAAAGATTGTTGTGAAATATGCTTGAGCAATAAAGTAGCTATTTTATACTCTACATGTGTGAATCTGGTTATTTGCACCTGACACAAATAGATCAAATTGTCTTTTCTGGGTCTTCCCTACTTTCCTGTTAAATTTTGTTTAAAAACACTAATCCTACCTCTAAACTTAGGCACTGCATACATCATACGTTATGATGTATGCATACAGCATCTTCTTTTATGTCTGGCTGTATTCTTTGGCTCAGCTGATTCTTTGCTGGTAAATACTTCATTTATTAGATACATTTATTGAATAACATTCCTTGGAAATGTAAAGCATATAAAAGTGGCATTGATCCAGAAAACAAACAGTGGCTGGATATAAGTGAAAAATTATTCTAGGTGTTTTAAATTAATTTTACTACATGTGGTAAGCAAGGATTTTCAATAAATTTTAGTTTCAAAGAATGTTTTTCACTATCAAGATTCCACTTCAATTTTAAGAAGCAGGATACATAAAAAGATAAAGAAAGCACGGGGGAATAATCACTTACCTACTGGGTTAGGGTAGCTGATTGCTGAGAAAGGAAACAGAAATAGATTTATAAAATACCTTTATATTAACACAGTTAAAGATGCAACAGAAAAAAAACAAGTACCTGGATTTGATCTGATTAAATACCTTTATCCTTTTGTTCCTGGGCAGATTCAAAGTTGAGATTGAATGCAGATAATTTATAATTTAAATCTTGAAAATTGCCCCAACAAGACTGGCCACAAGAAATTGTGTTCTTTTTGAAAAATAAGAAATGTATTATATTTATTTATTTTTCATCCATCTATCCACTCATCAAGCAGCTCTGGGTGGTTTACATAGGATTGAATCCCATTCTTTCATGGAACTTGGTGGGAATTAAGATAACTTGAAAGAATGGATGCCAATATTTGGGAAAGGATGTACCTTGTATCATATCATTAGACTAAATTTCATATGAAAAGAAGTTTGGGACAGGATTAAATCCTGTAGGAGAAAGCTCCATATCTAAAGAATTTGATGCCCCTTGTTTTCCCATTAAATTGCTATATAGTATGCTTGCATAAAACCATGTCCAACTTTATATTCCATACTAATAAATCAGTAAAATGTGCGATAGAAAAAAGTTTGATATTCATTGATGCTAAAATAAAGGCTCAAAAATTCCTCCGGATCTTGTACCTTTCAATGGTCTATAATCATAATAAAGATTTGATTGTTTCTTTCTAAATTGAATACACTTACCTAAGGTGCTATTTGATCATTGAACTATGTACTATTTATTCATTTCCCCCCTAAAATGATTCATGGATACAAATGACCACGTAACCTAATAGTTGGAAGCAAACTGATGACATATTTCACATTAACTGCTTTGGTTATATATATATATCACCTTGATCTCTGGAAGTGTTGAGATATAACTTTTACAATTCCCCACCCGGAAATTTTGAGATTTGTTGTTCAATATATATGGGAAAGATCAGTGGGAAAAGGTTTCTCTGAATAATGCAGGTCTACTAAGACTTTGTCAAAAGAAATACACTTCCTTCAGTTAATACCTTCCTTTGAGGGTTCAAAAACGGTCAAATAATGGAGAGAAAGAGACACTCACGTTCTATATAGTGGATGATACGGGTAGCCATGTCCCCCATCCCAAACCGGGTTATGGGTGTCAAGCGAAGTTCATAGCTTTGAGGCACTTTCAAGTCAGTCAGGAGGTATTCCTGTAACATGCCCTTTTCCATCTTCCTCACAGAAATGGGTTTAGGGGGCAAGTCCCTGTGATTCAGCTGTGATTCAGAGATATAAGGCGGGATTGAATTAGATAAGAGTAGATAGTTATGGAAACTGAACACTGAAGGAATTTTATGAGCTTTGTTTTCCAAGTATTTCTTCTCTTCTCTTTGTCAATTAAGAGTTGTTATTCAGAGTAAAAGCTGCTGGTATCTGGCACATTCCTGCATATGCTTGACTTAGTGCTAAATTCTAAAATATGGAAAAGGATCCTGAGTCCTCAGAATCTCAGAAGTTCATAAATTTAACAAGTAGCAATTGTTTTTAACTTCTGTAATAATAAAAACTCAACCTACTAATGGATTTGGGCTTTAGTTTCTATTGAATAGATTATGAGAAGTTTGTAACTAGTATAGTAGGTACTTTCATACAATTATGGAGCAGATGTTTTATTTCCCACTGTGTTATATGCAAACAAAAAGCTGGTCTCGATCGTGATTTGCACAATATTAATGCTTTTTGTCACAAGCACACTTTGCATTTATAAATATACATTTCTCAAAATTGTAGTGTTTTAAGAAAGTCCATATTAATAGCAATAGCAATAGCATTTAGAATTATATAATGCCACATAATGCTTTATAGCACTCTCTGGGTGGTTTATAATGTCAGCATATTGCCCACAATAATCTGAGTCCTCCTTTTGTCACCCTCGGAAGGATGGAAGGCTGAGTCAACTTTGAGCCAGTCAGGATTGAACCTGTGGCTCTGGGCAGAGTTAGCTTGGAAAATACTGCATTCTAACCACTGTGCCACCAGATTTCCTCATATTAAGACAACATGGACAATCCCAGCTTTTCTTCTGTATTTAAATGTATATTTATAAGGACTCATCAGCTTTGGGACAAAAGTCTGTGATCTCATTCTTTCTTCCGTCAATTCTCTCCCCATTTTAATTGAATTTCTCTTGAGAGATTTGGACTGAACTGAAGTTGCCACACTGGCTTGGTTCACCTACAACTCTACATCATGCTTTCTTTTAGTTGTGTTTTGTTCTAGAACCCATGGTGCCCCGATTCACACATGGTGCTATGCTAGGATTTACAAATACAATGGCTGAGTTTGCCCATTCAATTCTAAAATCACATGAAGTCTTAGCACAGCTTGCCAATCAAGTTTCTGTCCTCAATATTTAAGAAGATAGTAAATGGGCATGCTTCCATTTATCCATTTTTATTTATTAAACTGTGGATAAGAAAAAATCAGAACCACACAATGGCGAGGAAGAGTTCCCTTTACTCTTGCTCCTAAATGCATGTATATCTGTCCTTATATCTGCCTGACTAATAAGACACCATTTCCTGCCTAGACCAGATGTCTCTTCTTGGCTCTCCATCTTTGCTGAAAATAAAATGAAGTTGAGGCACTATTTGACCAACCTAAAAACAAATTGTCCTCTGGTACCAATCTACCTACCCATTATTCTATTTCATTTTCATTGTCAAACAACCATCCTGGTCTTTGATATGTTAAGTTTCAGATTCATACTTCTAAATTCATCAAACAGTATTTCTAATATTCACAGCAAAACATTCAGATTTTATCCAGCAACATGTCATTGCCTGTATATAATGCACTTACACTCCTAATCAAGACCACAATCAAAATATTTATTCATAAATATATTAAACAACCAAAGGGATATGAAACATAATTGTGTTATTTCCTGCCCAGTCTTGAATCATTCACTAAACATTCATGATTTATATTATTTAGCAATTATCTCTCTAGAATTATGCAAAACATGTCCTAATTCAGGCCTATTCATGTTATCCCCCTATATCCACAAATAGGCAAGAATTTTCCTTGTATTCATAGATTTTTTTAGTGACTTGCTGAAAAGCCAAAATCTGATCAGCATTTAGATACTGACTTGTATATGGCTATCAATGCTTTGATGAGTCAAGGTTTTCATTTAATTCTTTTTAGTAGTACTACATAGAGAAAGTTATTAGCCTTAGTTGTACATGTGCCACATGCAGCAATCCCTATCTAACAAAATGAAATTCAATGGTGAAAAAAGTAAGGTTCTACATTTAGGCAAGAAAAACCAAATGTATAGGTATAGTATGGGGGCACCTTGCTCAATAGTAGTAACTGTGAGAGGGATCTTGGAGTCCTAGTGGACAATCATTTAAATATGAGCCAGCAGTGTGCTGCAGCTGCCAAAAAAGACAACACAGTGCTAGGCTGCATTAACAGAGGGATAGAATCAAGATCACGCAAAGTATTAATACCACTTTACAATGCCTTGGTAAGGCCACACTTGGAACACTGCATCCAGTTTTGGTCACCACGATGTAAAAAAGATGTTGAGACTCTAGAAAGAGTACAGAGAAGAGCAACAAAAATGATTAGGGGACTGGAGGTTAAAAAAATATAAGGAATTGGGTATGTTTAGTATAATGAAGAGAAGGACGAGGGGGGACATGATAGCAGTGTTCCAATATCTTAGGGGCTGCCACAGAGAAGAGGGAGTCAAGCTATTTTCCAAAGCGCCTGAAAGCAGGACAAGAAGCAACGGATGGAAACTAATCAAGGAGAGAAGCAACCTAGAACTAAGGAGAAACTTCCTGACAGTTAGAACAATTAACCAGTGGAACAACCTGCCTCCAGAAGCGGTGAATGCTCCAACACTGGACGTTTTTAAGAAGAAACTGGACAGCCATTTGTCCGAAATGGTATATGGTTACCTGCCTGAGCAGGTGGTTGGACTTGATGACCTCCAAGGTCCCTTCCAACTTTATTATTATTATTATTATTATTATTATTATTATTATTATTATTATTATTATTATTATTATTATTATTATTATTATTATTATTATTATTATTATTATTATATTACAGGCATGCTTAAACTGGTCTACTCAGTCTAGGGTCTTTAACCTAGAGACTGCCTTGCAGGTCAACTTATTGTTGTACACAATCCACTAATTCAGAGATTCAGATGTACACTCAAGATGTGTGGTGTTTAAATTTTTTTTGGGGGGGGAGAGCTACAAAAGATGAACATAGCTACCTCTACATATTATAGTTCAAATGGCCACTTTTAGACACCACATGCTCAAGATCCTTCCAATATAGCAGAGGTCCCCAACTTTTTTGGCATCAGGGACCGGTTTCATGGAAGACAATTTTTCCATGGACCAGGGAGGGGGGAGGTTTCAAGATGATTCATTATATTTATTCTAATTTTTTTAAAATAAACAAATAATGCACTTTATTTCTATTATTATTATACTGTATCAGTGACTTTCTGCTTCTAAGAAAGTGGGAATGAAAAGAGGCAATCCTAAAATCAGCCTTCCAGCAAAACAAACCAAAGACCCAGCACGTTGAGGAAGTGCTGAGAAAACCATTGAAAGAGAGAGGGGGGGGGCACTGCGCAAGCCAAGCAGCCTTGGAAAAGGTGCAGATGAGAGAGGGATTCCCTTGGAGACACAGTGCCTAAGGGGAAATGTAGCTTCTCCCCTCCCCCTCCCCCATTGCACGCTGGGTAGGAGCATGCTTGGTTTGCAAACTTGAGAGCTGCATGAAGAAAGGAGCATGAACACACACACACACACACACACCACGAAAAACAGGCAGGAAATTACCAAAACATGAGGCACCTGGAGCACCATCAAAACAAAAGCAAAAAACTCAGTGGTCTTAGAAAAGGTACAAACGAGAGAGAGATTCCCTTGAAGATGCAGTGCCTAAAGTGAAAGGTAGCTTCTCCTTGCCCCTATTTGCACCCTGAGAAAGCATCCTCACAAACACATATCTTGGGGGGGGATCCCCTCCAACGAGGTTTTGCCCCCCCCCCAGTTGCAAGCTGGGCTGGCACGCACTTGCCTTGCAAACTTGGAGACTTGCGCGAAGTGAGCACGAGCCCAGTGGGGTGCCGGGAGTGGGAGAGGAGGAAAGTGAGGAAGAAGAGGAGTAGGAGAAAGAAAAAATAGAAGGAGGAAGAGGAAGCAGGAAGAAGAGGAGGAGGAGGAGGAGGCAGAAGAAGAGAGAGCACAAGAAGCAGGAGGAGGAAGGATGCTGAACTCAGATGTTGCAAGCCAGTTGCAAGAACCTTTGCACCAAGCAAGCTGGATTGTGCCCTGCCATTCTCCCACCCCTACCCAGACCCCTGCAGACTTGCAGCAGGCTTCCAGCTGTGCAGACCGGTTCCTAACTGGCCACAGACTAGTACTGGTCCATGGATCGAGGGTTGGGGACCCCTGCGATATAGGATCTTATGCATATACATTTTGTATGCTCATTTAAGTTTTTAATAGAAATTAAGAGGTTTCTGACTTGGACTGGAAATAAAGAAGTAAGAGAAAGACAAGGCTTTTTTTCACTCATCCTGTGTCTCTGATAAACATTGTACCATCCCCAAATAATCTGTATACATTTCCTGTAGTTTAACAAGCAATTTGGAACTGCATGATCTCAACTGAAGTAGTAGTTTGCATATATGAAGTGAAAGATCAGTGCTCTCTTGCTTCTGTGCAACAGTCTTATTCTACAATCCCTGGCCCACTCTGCATTAATACTTAAAAGCTGCACAAGTAATGCTAACCTTTTATATCAATTCTAGTTTGCAATTCAGCTGTATAATTTACAGATGGTGCTATTTCTCAGGATGATCAAACTCCAAGCTCCTTGAGTGACTATGTTCTTCTTCGTGCATCTTCAAGCAGGCTGTACTCTTGTTTTTCTCTTTACTTGCTTCTGCTCTTTTAAACAGAGCTTAAGGAAGTCTCCCTTGATTGCATGACTGCTACTTAGGATAAAAAAGCTTCTCAGGAATTGAAACCAAATAAGGAAGAATTATTATGCTTCTGGAATCTTGCTAGGGTCCATTTTAATGCAAAGGGGATTCACATGGCATCCTTAGACTTCAGCTTTTCTATTGATCTCCTACCAAGCAAAACACACTCAGAAGCAAAAACTTTTGTAAGCACTCATATGTGTCATTTTACTATTTCCTGGAAACAACATAAGCTCTTATAATAGA